GGGAGTGTACATAGACTCATCTCTTTGTGGTTGCATGCTTAATTTATATAGGAATGTTCGGAAAAAGATTTTTACTACACACGTCTTGAAATTTTTTTTTTTTGTTAACGCCTTTAATTTCAAATAAAAATTATGTAACATCCTGACCAATGGTCAGGAACTTGCCGATCATATTTGAATTAATATATATCGATAACAATAAAATAAATAAATTCACGAAATACACATGCAAAAACAAACTGGTATGCGAAATCGGCCACGAGGGCCAGCTTTATTAAAATTTGATAAAGTACAGAATAAGGAATGACAAGAGTAGGAAAGTATATGTTAAGAAAGGAATGACAAAAGTAAGAAAGTATACATTACGAAATTAATGATAAAGAAATGACGATAGTTAGTGGTAAAAAAAAGAAATAGCGATAGTTGAAGCAGTAAAAGGAAAAACAAAGAATGACGACAGTTGAAGCGGAATTAATGAAGGATAAAATTGTTGTTATAAAAAGTGGGTCTGATTGGAGTTCGGGTTGTAATGTTAAGGGTAAGGTTAAGTAAAGTTAAAGAAAGTCGGGTTTTAGTTGTAAGGATTATCGGATAAGTTTGTGATAAATTTGCTTCATCTATCGCGCCAGGAGAAAATTCATTTCCAACGACAATCCCCACCACACGTTCTTCTAGGCAAATTACTCCTCTTAGGGCCCTTACAACTTCTGGCCCTATAATTAATCAATCAATTAATAACAAAAATTTATAAATAAATAAATAAACATAATATTTACCTATTTTGTTACTCCAGTTTTTACATTGAAATGAAAATTTTCTACCTTTAATTCTGGCAATAATATCGACACCACCATCTCCCCTACGGCTATGTGGGTTGCTAGGTAGTGTAACAGTTGGTTGGGAGAGCGATGCACAATTATGCGCAGTGTAGCTCAAACCGCTACTAGAAGTTATGTGAATTGAATAATAAAAGACTTCTATAGGGCATAGTAATTCTATTAGGGCGACTTAATGATGGTGCGAAATTAAGAAAAGAATATCATTATGTCCAGGTTACTTTATTATGAGAATGAGCTTCTCCCGTTTATTAGAATGAAGGCTTCACTTTTATTTTGGATTAATATGAAAGAGAACACATTCTGGAACCTACTTTATGACATCAGATCACGCTATCGTGTTAGCCTCATGTCAATATGCACACACTACTCCTTCGAGGGCTTTAACAATCATGATACTAATCTAGTTAGATAATCAATTACACAAAAAGGGTAAGATTATAAAATTAATTCGTTACAGTAGCAGAAAAGTATGTTTAATTGTCGCTTATTTTGAATAAAATCTCATTATCAAATTGTTAGATTAAAAACCTGCCCAACCAAATATAGAATTTTTATGCAAGGAAATGGGCTTTCGTACAACTCGAAAAATCCGATTGGAACTTTCTTTTAATAACATACATTATATTTAATAATTTTTGAAAGCCAGCATCCTATTACGTAGATTATATTTTATGGACGTAATTTTTTATAAGTTGGAACTAAAGTAAGGCATATTTTTTTATTAGAACGTCAGACATTATTTAAATGCAGCAAATGATGGCAGAATCAGGTGAGATTCAACTTGAGAAGCCACAAAGTATCATTCAGATAAGAAAGGCGGCATAACAAGTTAACAGTGATATTTAGCAATATCAATAACATTCTAATTTATCTCGTTTATCTCGTGAACACATGACAAGGGCGGATGCACCAGTTGACATTGTACAATATCTTAGTACTGTCTTTTCAACCTTTCCCACTCCAATTTCAATCGTACGCCTAACAGGAGGAGAAATAAATTATGTTTATCGTGTATCCTTTGATCAGCCAATTGAGGAGTTTGCGAGTGCTCGCTCGGTAGTAATCAAAATATCGTCAGGAACATTAGCCTCTTTTCCTGAGGTGAAATTCGGACTTGAACGACAGGTGCAGTATACCCTTTTTCCACGATCCACATGTTAAGATAGTTGATACTATTTCAAATTTAAGTTAGATGATTGAAGCACGTGCCATGGCCCTTCTTGCGCCTACCTCTACAGGACTTTCTCTGCCTCTAAGCTTTCCAAATCCATATCCACACGTAATGACACCTTCACTTTATCATTATTCACCTCAAAACAATATTCTTATTATGCAAG